ACCAGTTCTTTGTTGGGAGCCATAGACGTGGTCACCCGAATGGGCAACTGCTTGCAGAATAGCCCTCGCCCAGGCACGGGGTTCTTTAAACAACCTCTGGACCCGTCAGCTTATCGACCGGCCCTGAGCGGCATTCACAGGGAGTCAGTCTCGAGTTATGTAGGCTCCAGGCCTGTGAATGCCGTTCTAGGTGCACAACCACCGGACATTGCCGAGACGGAGCTTCATCTGCCTCGGGAGACTAGAATAGCCCAACTTCACTCTGGCTACTGCAGCAGGTTAAACTCATACCTGATCAGACTAAACGGAGATGTACCAGATGAGTGTCCGGCATGACTCTAAACATCTCTTCGTATGCTCGTAAAACCCGACAACCCTAACGCCTTTGTCTCTGTGGACCGACCCTATTGAGGCTGCACGCTTCTTAGGACTTCCGTTAGTGGAACTGTGGACGACAACGACTGAGATATTGATTGAGATATTGACTGATCTGGGCGGGGTTGTTGTAGCCGCTACAACAACAACAACAAAAGCTCTCCAATATTTATGGCGGGCATCTGGCTCAACTATATTGAAGTTTTTTTCATCACTGAAAATAACGTCCGATTACTCAGCAGTTAATTAACTACTTCTCATGCCACAAAAATTCATGCCTGTTATATTTCCGGGCTCTTTTTCATATAGTTCAATGCCACAGGATATTATTTGCCATAGTATAACTAGGGAAAATAAGAAAACGGTATTTATTATGGAATAGCTTCTATATGTTTAAGTCTTTACCACACATTCATTGGTGTAGATTTCTGTTGGAAAATTTTGACACTGGAGCTGGCGGAAGCTGAATAGTTCATTTTGCACATATAATTATTTACCGTTGAATATTAACTATTATTTTTGATATGGGTAGTTAAAATTATAATGGAACATCAACTTAGCATATGAAAATACTTATATACTAAAGGCTATTATAATAGAATACAGCAAAAAGTTTTACCCTTCTTTCGTAGAGCGAAAATGAGGAAAAACATATTGCACATATAATTCTCTTACTGAGGTAAAATTCTTAGATTTTTTATTTCACATTGATTTAATATATCCTATGCCTGTGCAATGGAGTAAAGCTTTTGATTTATTTATTTATATTTTCGTAGTCACATAAGTACAATTAATAATAAATGTAGTACATTATTTTAATGAAAAAATTTGATAAAATACGCCTTTTTACATATGCATCAAGTGTGATTGATCAATTGTGATGTGTATATATACCAAGGATGATAGACCAACCGGGATATATAAATACATGAAACATCGCACCAAAGTTATAATACCATTTCATGCTCATGAAAGGTATAACAAGCTTTTACAGTGTGGCGGAGTTGTTCTTCATTTTACATACAGTATCGGTCATATCTATAGCACGCCATTTCAATGTGATATTGTGTGCCACTTATGTTTAGTTATTTATTTTTAAGAATTTTCAATTAAAATACAGTTCTTTCTCTAAAAAACCCGATATAAACCCAAGTTTAACAATTTGTAGAAAACTTCAAAAAAGTGCAACAAATTTTCACCTAAGTTTCAAACTTTTTTCTCGGAAGTGTTAGAATTTTTTTGAGTACACAGTTTTTTAGCCACTGCAATTCTAGTCTTATAATGTGCAAGTTTCAAGTGACTTAAAGTTACCGTTGATTTTTTAGAATTTTTTTCGCCAAAGGTGTTGCGGTTTTCATCCATATACAAATAAATAGAGTTTATTCATTAAACATGGACGCCAAGGCGACAGAAAAAATTCTAAAAAATCAACGGTAATTCGTAGCCACTTGAAAGTTGCACATTATCAGACTAAAATTGCAGTGGCTAAAAAACTGTGTACTCAAAAAAATTCTAACACTTCCGAGAAAAAAGTTTGAAACTTAGGTGAAAATTTGTTGCACTTTTTTGAAGTTTTCTACAAATTGTTAAACTTGGGTTTATATCGGGTTTTTTAGAGAAAGAACTGTATTTTAATTGAAAATTCTTAAAAATAAATAACTAAACATAAGTGGCACACAATATCACATTGAAATGGCGTGCTATAGATATGACCGATACTGTATGTAAAATGAAGAACAACTCCGCCACACTGTAAAAGCTTGTTATACCTTTCATGAGCATGAAATGGTATTATAACTTTGGTGCGATGTTTGTAAGTACCAGAATAAGAAGAGATAGACCCATTAAAATGTATACTCAAATGATCAGAACGTCGAGCTGAGTCGATTTAGCCATGCCCGTCTGTCGTGTCTGTCCGTCTGTTTGCATGCAATCTAGTCTCAGTTTTTGAGATATCCGGATGAAATTTGGTAGGTGGGTTTATTTTTATTATGTATTAATCGTTTGTCAGAACCAGAAGAATCGGACCTCTATAACATATAGCTCTCATACAACTGATTGTTCAGATATGAGATTTTTCGTTATAACTTCTCCATTTTTGCAGCTAGGAACATGAAATTTTGCAATACTTCCACCCATTATCAACAGAAAACTCATAGTGAAAATTACAAAGATCGGGCCACTATAACCTATAGCTCCCATATAACTGATTGTTCAGATATGAGATTTTTCGTTAAAGAATACTTTCCGTAAAAATGGCGAAGATCGGGTTGCTATAACCTATAGCCCCAATACAACTGATTGTTCAGATATGGGGTTTTACTAAAAAACTCCTTTATTTGGACAGCTAAAACCGATAAATTTCGTAAGCTATTTTATAAATAATAATACAAAATCTAGTGACAAAATCGTCAAAATCTATGCTGTATAAGCTTTATCTCTTATACCACTGATTGTTNCATAGTGAAAATTACAAAGATCGGGCCACTATAACCTATAGCTCCCATATAACTGATTGTTCAGATATGAGATTTTTCGTTAAAGAATACTTTCCGTAAAAATGGCGAAGATCGGGTTGCTATAACCTATAGCCCCCATACAACTGATTGTTCAGATATGGGGTTTTACTAAAAAACTCCTTTATTTGGACAGCTAAAACCGATAAATTTCGTAAGCTATTTTATAAATAATAATACAAAATCTAGTGACAAAATCGTCAAAATCTATGCTGTATAAGCTTTATCTCTTATACCACTGATTGTTCAGATACCAGTTTTTACGATATATCTCCTTTATGTAGGAAGCTAAACCCATTAAATTGTGTTACCGGTTTACATACCGATCACACAGCAGTCAAAATCACTTAGATTGGTGCTATATAAGGTATATCTTCCATACCTCTGATTGTTAAGATATGATTTTTTTTTATATGTATCTCTATCTATGTGTGCTGTGAATATATAGATTGTTTCAAATGCAGTTATCTGTTAAAGTAAAATTTTCAGATGTTCATAAAAGGCATCGGCATAGCCGAAGACAGCGCTGCTCGTACTTGTTTTGTTTTCAATTGCTACCAGATTACCGTTATTACACAGTTTTTGCTCAAAATATTTGAACAAGTACAGTTTTTCAGGCAGGTCCTGAAATTCACTTCCAAGTGCGAATGGCTCAAGTTCACTTTGAATCCAAATTTTGGTGTTCTGTATTTCTCGNCTTGCACAAAATATTTGAACAAGTACAGTTTTTCAGGCAGGTCCTGAAATTCACTTCCAAGTGCGAATGGCTCAAGTTCCTTTCAATCCAAATTTTGGTGTTCTGTATTTCTCGTGTTTCATGTCAAATGAATTCCTTTTTTCGTTTTCAACATCTCTTTCATTCTGTAAATGAATCAGTAAAAATCTCGGGATCCCGGAGCAGTAATCCCGGGATTTCGGGACATGGAAAAGTGTCCGGGATCCTGGAATCCCGGGATTATCCTCCCGGGATTGAATGCCCTAGTGTGCACCACTAATGTACATTCATCTCTATAAGGCTCATGCCACAAAAAAACTGAAGGCATCTGATCATTCACAGTGTCTTGGATACGCATCATTGTAACAGAGGATTATCATAATAACCTCAAACTTCGCAGCACCATTTCAACATCAACATCCGGATACACCTGGATATTGACGAATGGACAAATAAAGGTACGACCACCCACAACCGTCCACGAAACAGATTTAGCAATAGCAAGAATTTGTTAGAGATCACACCATTCTAGAGCCAATCGATGCTCTTAAGTTTAAAAAGAAATGATATGGCCTTCCCTATGAATACTGACGCGCCACTTCCTAATGTAGAATCAGAACGAGCCTGTATTGAGCTATGCGAGGGGGGATCTACCTTACTGAACAAACATGTAGGACCGAGGACCGAATCGAAAAAGTTACCAAATTGAAAAATAAATTACTAAATTTCCAATGGGGCAATGGGGACGAGCGACTCGTCACGTAAAACTGCATATTTATTTATTTATTTTTATTTATTTATTTATTTATTTGTTACAGTCTTGCGACTTAAAAGTACAGATAGATATTTTTTATATATAACAAAGTATGCGTATGTGTAAGTTTAAATTTTCAATTACAAAGCTGTTTATGTTTCGGATTATAACAGTCGTGAACGTACTGCTCTAGTAAATCGTTATACGAGACGAGCAGTAGTTCACGACAGCTATAATCCGAAATATGCATTTTGACGTGACGAGTTGCTCGTTCACGACTGATCGACGTACGATCTGAGCCCTGTTTTTGATACTCTTTTTTTAATGTTTTTTGCTTCTCCTGTGAGATAAAAAATTTGTGTGATAGGGCCTTTGTGAATAAAGGTAACGATATATAATTTATTTTTTTTCAGTTTTTCTCCACCGTTTCGTGTTTTCATAACATTTTCGCCATCTGAATACGAAATTTTAAGTTTAAAGTCGTTTGAACCCATTTACTTACGTTTTTGGTTTAAATTTTCATAGAAACACCTATATGCAAATTTTAAAGTGTATGTATTTTTTGTTTAGAAGATATGAACATTTAATCTTACCTATTTTTGGACTGTTGAACGAAATTTTAATTTATTTGATTTTTTAGAAGAGAAAAAAATGGATGGGTTGGAAAATCAACTGAAAGAGTGGAACTGCTTGGATGTGTTGCCGATGTTGACAGGTATATGTTTTTTTTTTTAAGTAAATTCGTCAATATCGCTAACCAACAGCATTTTTGTAACAAGATAGCGATCTTCGCCAACCCCAAAGAAAATTTAATATTTTTGTCCTTAAATGTTTTATTAAAACATACTTTTTTAGATTTGTTAAAAGTATCAAATTGATTCTAACAAGCCCTTCCTAAATTACATACACGGTCGCTATTCTGTTCCAATAAAGACATTTTTTGGACTATGTACACTGAGGGGAAAAATAGTAAAATCAAACGAAAGCGTATTTGATCTTACTAAAAACGTGAATGAAAGTACTGTATAGTGGAAAATATTCCATTCAAATACGCCCATTTTAAAATGAAGCATTTTGCACTTCATGGATGGCGTATTGCGCTTCACGGATGCTTTTTCATAATTAAGATAAAACAAAAAAAAATTTATATATATTTAGCTTGCATGTTCCCTGCAATGCAATTCGAACCCCCTGACTCTCTGGAAATCAAGAAATTGTGGCAAGCATCTTTGCGCACTCAGCTACAGCCAGAAATGTAAAGGCGCTTTCAAATGTTGAGTTGTTTGAGCACGCGATTAGTGCATTAGTGCAGATAAACATGTACCATGTATATGTTAACACAGTGGTCATCGCTGTGCGTGTTTGGCATACATACACTTTCTTAACACTAGAGTGCTCGCGCAATGAGCATTTTGTCGCCCGGGACAAAAAACTGCATGCTATTTTTCAAACAACACATTTGTAAAGATCAAGCGATGTTATATACAATAGTAAAACTTTAATAAATGTTGCTCTAACGCTTAGTTTATATTTCATACTTGCTTAATAAAATTATTTTAAATTCATTTGACTACTAATTGTGACACAACAGCTTTTTAAATATGGGCGGCAAAATGCTCTCCACGCGTTCACTCGCGCTTCACGTAAGGGCGCGATTATTCAATTATGAAAAAGCATCCGTGAAGTGCAAAACGCCATCCGTGAAGTGCAAAATGCTTCATTTTACTATTTTTCCCTCAGTGTATACTCAATACGTGCGTGTTAAATTTTGGTATGGAAGTATTATCTTTTAATACGAACATATTTAAACTATAATCACATAAAAAATAATTTTTACTATGCGTTATTCCCTTAGTGAATGTGTTTGTAAAATTATTGTTTCCTGTTTAGCAAACAAAGTGACTGTGGATAGGTTAAAATACCTTTGTGTGGAGGACATTAAAGATATGATACCTGCTATTGGAATCCGAGCAGAATTCAGGAGCAAATTATTAACTTGGAAAAAAAGAGAAGTAAATTAAAAAAACAGCGCGATTATTTTTTCAAACAATATATAATCTCCTTGATTTCCGTTTTTCTGCTTTTCAAGTTCGAAATTGATGATGAAAACATATCTATAGTTACACCAATCAAAAGTTGGCTATCGGAAAGCCAAAGACCCGACGAATCTCTTTCGAATCCAAGTGTACGAACGATATTAGAAGCTCAAGATAACGGGAGAGCTATTTTGGATTTCTTTAAAGCAAATAGGTTTATAATGGAAGTTCATCGACAGGAGTTAATCGTACTATTATTGGAAAATTTTTTTGCGTGCAACTTGAAATTACAATGTAAAGATTTCTCCTACATAGTTCAACAAATTATCAATATTTTTCCAACTGAAAAAAAAGTATGCACTTATGAATATTTTCTACATACTTTTATTACATGAACAAATTTTGCTTTTACCTATTAGGACTATTACTTCATTCCCAGAGGACCGAGAAAAAATCCTGGAGGAAAATTGTATGATAAGTATCACAATTTCAAGACCAAGCGGCGTAAAATTCAAAAATGTCTGACTTCTTACGAGGAAAAATGCGACGTGGAAGAGTTTGATGAAGTGCAGCTCATTGAATTGAAAAATTCTTTAAAATCGGAACCAGCACTTAGCATTATAGCGGACAACGGTGGGTTTACTATATCAGATGTTTGGAAGCGAACTCTTCCACTACGTCAAAAGGGCCCAAGATGGACCAACGACAATAACGATTTTTTACATGAGTGGCCATCTTTCAAACAAGCTTTCGGTTATAAATTGGTAACTACGTAATTTGAAAAAATGTGTTCTCTTCACTCATTTATAACTCTAAATATCTTTATAAAGATTGAATATGACTTTGACGAAAAATATCCCGACAGAGGAAATAAACTACTGGAGAAATGGACAACTTTTAAACACCAAATTCGCAAGTTCTATGAAGTAAACATCAAAGATACGAAGTCGAGAGAAGAGTTTTCTGTGTGTAAAGAGATCCGAAATTCAAGTAAGAGGAATTAATTGACAAGGAACGGATTTTTAGGACCTATAAACCTATAAAAAACGCAAAATAAAATAACGAAATAGGCTAGAAAAGGCAAAATAAAATAGCGAAATAGGCAGGAAAAGGCACTAGAAATCGCAAAAAAGGCAAAAGTAGGCACTTAAAAAAAAAGACACAAACCGAAAAATAATCAAAAAATATATTTATTTTAGAAATTTTTATTTTACAAGTAAAAAGAGAAAAACTATGACTATTACTATTATTTGAAAAATGCCTACTTTGAATCTTTGACTATTTTCTCCCTTCAAGTTTTCAACTCACAAAACTTTAATCACTATAGTTGTAGTGTCATTGAACCACAAGATGCATTTTAAAGTTTTCTGGCAGCACATTCATTAGATTTTTGCGAAGAAATGCCTTGAATGTACTAAACGTGCGCTCGACGTGAGTTGATACCAGTGGTGCCCATTTTAAATATGGAACGTTTAAAACTTTCATATCATCAGGAATAAGGGCTTTTTCCTTGCCCTTTACATTAAAGGTAGAAAAGACAAAAAAGGCAAATATCTTAAAAAACATTAAATGTGTATATATGAAATCAGGAAAAGCTAAATCGTGGACATTCCTAATCGAATATACTCTATCTCTTTAGCAGAAAAAAAATGCGATTTCCATAAAATCCGTTCCTTGTTAATTGACATTACTTTTTGACCGTTATTTTTACTTTTAGGCGGCGAGGATTACATTCTTGCGAAATTGCTCAACAGCGTAATTGTTCCTACAGCGCGGTTTAAAAAACCGAATGGTGAAGCTAGGGGTAAATTCACTATATCTGACGGACAAGAAAGTTTCGCCTTGTACTTAACTTGTATAAACAATTACAAGACAAAATTGAACGAAATCAGGAAGAAATGTATAGAAACTAACGCCACAACACAGCCAACAGTCATTGTTGTCGGTCCCACTCAATACAATTTAAAAAAATTTTATCTTTCCATCGACGAAGTCTTACATGAATTCGATTCATTTCCGAAGTGCTTATCTGCTTGCTTTAAAACTTTTCATATTTTAAATTTACCTTACCCAAGCGCAAGTCAAAATGCATGGTTGTTTATACAGCAACTTTTTTTTGAAATTGAAACTGAATTTGACAATCCATCTCCGGCACTTTCCACAGTCGTTAATTTTGTAAGACATGCGAAATAGATTTATTATTAATTTGATTGGTAACCCGTAGCCATGTTTATTTGGTTTAAGTGAATGAAAGATTTTAGTGTGACCAGCGATCTGTTGTCATTTTAAGATAAAACATTTTTTAACATCACATGTTAGGCTTAAGTGCGCCCAAGCTAACATAAAAACTATGTGGTACTACATAAAAAGAGTACATAAACACAAAAAGTATACAATATCCCAGTCATTTTATAACAAATATGTTTTTATGCACAATAAAATCTTTTTTTGTACTGATAATAATATTTATATATATTGTAATCAGGGTTGGCACCTCACGAAATCGATTGCGTTGCCAAAGCCCAGAAAAATCTTACACCCTTATTCTGGAACCCGAATTTTCGTCATTCTTATTTTTTAGTACGTTACGTAAAACAAAAAATCGACATGTTCCAACCCTTGCGGAAACCTGTGCAACATTGCCAGCTATCAGTTGTTTTTCGAAGACAGATGTATCAAGGAAAACAAAGTGGAAAGGAATTAAAAAACATTGATCAAGTGCTTATATATGGTAAAATTGTTTGGTTTTACATATTTTGAAGGAAACGATTCTATTGCATTTGCAATTATAGCAGCAGAGTAAGAGCGCGCTATGGAAGTAGAATTCATAAAAATATACGGAGCTGTCGGGCATAGTAACCATGGACGCATCTATGTCAGCTTCTGGTTGAATTGTTCAACCACAACCTCCTATGCTTGCTTCTGCCTTCGGACGCGCTTAGGTATTATAACCCTTACTAAGTATAATTCTCCTTTCTTTGTTGCCGGAGAAGAGGGGCTTCCGCATGTCAACGGCATACAACATTTCTTGTGCATATAACTCCGGCCGGGCCATCCACAGTATTTTTGCGCAGAGCCCACATCGAAATTTACAAAACAGTGCATAGTGCAAACCGAATTAATTAATAAACTATCGGTCGGAAATTTTAAACAATTATTTTAAATTAAATTTTAATCCTTTGATTACACGTGTATGTAAAAGTTTTTAGATTCGGGTTATGCGTTTGGACACAACAACCGAAAAAATTATCGTATATACGAAAGGCAAATGTATCTCTTTAAATGAACACCACTAATATATCCGGCAAACACACTTGGATTTACTTCTTTTATCTCGCCTCCGACACAGAATTGTTTTCGTACAAAACTACGCAAAAAAGCTTACTCGTTCGTTTTAAGGAATGCCATTGTTAGAATTTCGAAAGTTTGAAAATCCGAATTCGAAAGAGTTGCAGAAAAGGGGTGGTAGTAAAAAAAAAATCGCAGCAAAAGTACAAATAGGTTATTATTTTAAATTTATATGCTATTTAAAACAAAAAAAAATATATATATTTCAATAATATTTGTACTTTTTATATATTATTTTGTATTTGTATCTTTTTTACCGAACTTGAGCACATTTTGACGCTTACTTCATTACCTTCATCAATAATAAGTGAAATTTTTTTTTGAGGATGTAATTTGATTTGTACGGAAAAGTGCAATAAGGAAAACTAAACCTTTACCTATGTACAGTGGTCGCAGAAATAATAGACTCGCCTTACTTTGAGGAGTTTTGGCTATTATTTCATGGTTTATTTTATGTTTAATATGTTTTTATAAAAGCCTGGCTAGCTATACAACAAACACCATATAAATCTCTTTTTCAAACTTTATACAACAATTATAAAAAATCGACAAATGTTCACCAAATTTTTTAACTTTTTTCAGAACTTCGAGACAAATTTTTGGTATGCAGTATAATAAAGTGCAAGTTTCAAGTGGCTTGAAAATACCGTTGATTTTTGACTATTTTTTTGTTAACGATACTAGGCATTATCTTCCATATAAAAAAATTGTCGAGCACACTTTGTGTGGGAGTAGCATTATCTTCCATATAAAAAAATTGTCGAGCACACTTTGTGTGGGAAAAAATGCGTGACACCGTTAGCAAAAAAAAAATTAAAAATCAACGGTATTTTGTAGCCAAATTAAACTTGCACTGCATACCACAAAATTTTCTCAAAATTCTGAAAAAAAAGTTAAAAAATCTGTCGAATTTTTATAATTTTTGTTCAAAATTTGAAAAGCGGATTTATATGATGTTTGTTGTATAACTACCTAGGCCTTTATAAAAAAATATTGAACATAAAATAAACTAAATAAATATAGCAGAGATTCTTAAAAGTACGACGAGTCTATTATTTCTGCCGCCAGTGTATATTGACTCGCCTTTTATCTCAATACTGGGATCCGTTATAGCTTGCAATAAATCGGCAACCAATCAATTGTTAAAAAAAGTAACTAGTTCGACTTGCAATACTTGGGCATTGCTACCTCTTTCTGCAACTTTGTATCCATCTCGCAAGTTGAATCATTCCATCTGTTAACGATACCCGGTTAAGGGTGACGCTTGAATTGCGCCTCTTCGTTTATGTGAAAATTTTACCGGCTGTGCCTATTTGTGTTGCAGATGTAGTTGCTCAGGCGCTATTTGCATAATTTGCAGTAGGATAACCCATTTAAATCTTAAAGCCATTGCCTGTTTACCACATCTTTAAAGTAATATCGATTTCCAAATCGTTACTGCCCACAAGTTGAATGAGATAAAAAACGTAGTAAAAATAAGATGAAGCGTAGTGGAGTAGCTAAATTAAAATTTTTGAAAAATCGTAGCAAGTGCCAACTCTGATTGTAATCCAATTGACATGCACTCTCAATCTTTTGAAATCGGAAGAAAATTAAGAAATGCTTAAAAAAACATTAATTTTCAAGTCCTCCGCTGAACATTTGTAATATAAATAACGGAAAATCTTAAATAAGAAATAAGTTTTTGTAAATAAAAAAACTGAAAAATAAACCAAATCATTTCTTATTTAACAGCCAAGGGATCATTTAATATTATCACATTTTTGTTTGTTGAATATGAACAAACTATTGGTTAATGAAACTAAAAATTTGGTTGGTATCACCAATTTTTTGTTTAAAAAAATTGTAAAATTTGTGTTTTATATAAAAAACATTGTTTGATTAATATAAAAAAACATTGGTTAATAAAACTAAAAACTTGTTTCATGCCACCAACTTTGTGGTTAATATAACAAAACACTGTTAAAAAATCAACAATGCACATTTTTAATAAAGCCAATACTTGGTTTAGTAAAACAAATAGCATGACTAAACATTTCAACCCAAATTTTTAGTAACTTCATTAAATCGTTACCTTAATTCGCAAAGGCCGTAACCAGCAAATTTTCTATTTTACAAGAGAAGCAAAAAACATAAAAAAATATCATGTATGCAGCTAAGGATTTTTAAAAAGTGGCATAACTCCGTTGTTTTTGGTACTAACACTTTCAAATTTTAGTGAAGGTGTATTTTAATATATATTAGCAAAATCTATGAAAAACGCACTTTCGAAAAAAGGGTTAGGGCTTTTGTGAATTAAGGTAAATAAATATCTCTGTTAATTTCACCAAAATCATTGTTGAAAATACCAGTGTAAGTGGGTTTGGGTTTGAAAAATCTAAAAATAATAGTACCTACTTTGCTTCATCGAGGATTGCAGGGACTTAGCCAGACGCAATGTGCAACATTAAGGGCTGGTTTCTCCAACTCAACTTAACTTAGTTAAGCCAATTTTCTTGACTAAGTCAAGAATAAGCTGTGTAAAACGTAGGCTAACTTTTGACTTAAGCCCAAAAAGTGGCTAAACTAAGTTAAGTTGAGTTGGAGAAACCAGCCCTAAGAAGCATTATGGCATGGTTCAAGTTCTGCACAAGGCGAATTTATACAAAGTGGTGTTACCGTCGAAAATAGATTTTCGCTGTGGATGTACTGATTGTCATAATGATGTGTTTGTTATAATTTGTTGTAATATGATTTTTTCTTTTTTACAACAAACACATCATTTTGACCATCAGTACAACCGTAACGAACATATATTCACCGGTAACACCACCTTGTATAAATTCGCCTGGGTTCTGCAGACATGTAAGATTATTATTCACTTGAAGTTCTCGGTTGCGTTTTGCTACTGCTGTCCGCTGATTTCAGACAGACTCTACGGTTCATTCCACAAGCTACATATGCGGACGAAATGAACGCATGTTTGAAACAGTCATACCCATGAAGAAATGTCTTACCGTAAATATGCGTGTTAAGCTGCAAAGTTATCCATTGGAATTATTATTTAGCGAACAATTGCGGAAAATTTGCAATAGAAAAATTATATGGCATGGAGATACGCAATTTGTTGAATTGCCAGACCGCAAGTAGAGATTACAATAACGATTGAGGGACTAACCGACAGTGTTGCCGCGAATCATTTTTCCTTCAAAAAAGGGGTTAAAAGAGAGCTAAAAAAGTCGTTGTGGCTAAAAATGGTAGCTAAAAATTTTTACTTACATACAGTGGTGGAAGGAATAATAGAAACTTTTTACTTTGACCAGTTTTGGCTATATTACTTTGTTTATTCGATGTTTAATGTTTTTGTATAAAAGTCTAGCGCAATATATAACACACACTATAAAAATCCATATTTCAAAGTTTGTACAAAAATTATAAAAATTCAACAAATTTTACCATAATCCCCCAAAAATTTCAAACTTTTCAATCAGATTTTTTTTTTTAATTTTGGGTATGCAGTTTCATAGCCCATTAAATTTTAGGAGGTAAAAGTGCAAACCGCAAGACGCTAGAAAATCGCATTGATTTTTAATATTTTATTTGGCTGGCGGGGTTGTGCATTTTCTTCCATATAAAGTATGCTCGACCATGCTCAAAATTTCTTTTTATATGGAAGGAAATGCTTAGCAGCGTCAACAAAAAAAATATTAAACATCGAATAAACAAAATAATATAGCCAAAACTGGTCAAAGTAAAAAGTTTCTATTATTTCTTCCACCACTGTATAAGTACACACGCAAACATTTTCAATAAGAAAGAGAGAGTATAGAAAAACAATGAACTCTGGAAAAAAGCTAATATTTTATCCAATCAAAAACCTTTTTGTATAAAAGGGGATATATACGACACCAGCTTGCTGGCTCCATCAAGTGATTGTACCATTAAGCTCGAAGCATATAACTACCAGAATGCTTGTACAGTATTTTTTTTTCCAAATGAGGTCGAGGAAAGATCGAAATGATTAGATCCGAAATTTCATAATTTTTCTACCATTTTGTTAAACATTGTTTTTTTTTTAATTCACAACTGCAATATCGTGAAATTAATCTTCCACAAACACGGCTTTGACTCATATAGTGCAAGAAATTTCCGCCAAAATTCTTTTTGCTTAGAAAATTGAGCTAATTTCACCACTCCACCACTTTTCAAATAGTTTTTGAAGTCGCACCAGCATCTGGTACAATCAAACCATAAGAACATACACGGTCAATCGACTTGATGGGCCATTTAACCAATTAAGCATATTAATAGCCGTAAACTTATATATTTTAAACTATCGTTAAATCATTAATAGATAAGCCCTAACACTTTTACAGTATGTATGTATAAAAACGTAAGGAACATACAATACATACATGTATACAAATCAGTCTTTCTTAGTTTAAAAATTCATCTCTTATTTAAATGGAAAAAAATGAGATCAAATTA